CTAGTCTATAGTCTAGTCTTAGTCTAGTCTATAGTCTAGTCTATAGTCTAGTCTATAGTCTAGTCTATAGTCTAGTCTATAGTCTAGTCTATAGTCTAGTCTATAGTCTAGTCTATAGTCTAGTCTATAGTCTAGTCTATAGTCTAGTCTATAGTCTAGTCTATAGTCTAGTCTATAGTCTAGTCTATAGTCTAGTCTATAGTCTAGTCTATAGTCTAGTCTATAGTCTAGTCTATAGTCTAGTCTATAGTCTAGTCTATAGTCTAGTCTATAGTCTAGTCTATAGTCTAGTCTATAGTCTAGTCTATAGTCTAGTCTATAGTCTAGTCTATAGTCTAGTCTATAGTCTAGTCTATAGTCTAGTCTATAGTCTAGTCTATAGTCTAGTCTATAGTCTAGTCTATAGTCTAGTCTATAGTCTAGTCTATAGTCTAGTCTATAGTCTAGTCTATAGTCTAGTCTATAGTCTAGTCTATAGTCTAGTCTATAGTCTAGTCTATAGTCTAGTCTATAGTCTAGTCTATAGTCTAGTCTATAGTCTAGTCTATAGTCTAGTCTATAGTCTAGTCTATAGTCTAGTCTATAGTCTAGTCTATAGTCTAGTCTATAGTCTAGTCTATAGTCTAGTCTATAGTCTAGTCTATAGTCTAGTCTATAGTCTAGTCTATAGTCTAGTCTATAGTCTAGTCTATAGTCTAGTCTATAGTCTAGTCTATAGTCTAGTCTATAGTCTAGTCTATAGTCTAGTCTATAGTCTAGTCTATAGTCTAGTCTATAGTCTAGTCTATAGTCTAGTCTATAGTCTAGTCTATAGTCTAGTCTATAGTCTAGTCTATAGTCTAGTCTATAGTCTAGTCTATAGTCTAGTCTATAGTCTAGTCTATAGTCTAGTCTATAGTCTAGTCTATAGTCTAGTCTATAGTCTAGTCTATAGTCTAGTCTATAGTCTAGTCTATAGTCTAGTCTATAGTCTAGTCTATAGTCTAGTCTATAGTCTAGTCTATAGTTAGTCTATAGTCTAGTCTATAGTCTAGTCTATAGTCTAGTCTATAGTCTAGTCTAGTCTAGTCTATAGTCTAGTCTATAGTCTAGTCTATAGTCTAGTCTATAGTCTAGTCTATAGTCTAGTCTATAGTCTAGTCTATAGTCTAGTCTATAGTCTAGTCTATAGTCTAGTCTATAGTCTAGTCTATAGTCTAGTCTATAGTCTAGTCTATAGTCTAGTCTATAGTCTAGTCTATAGTCTAGTCTATAGTCTAGTCTATAGTCTAGTCTATAGTCTAGTCTATAGTCTAGTCTATAGTCTAGTCTATAGTCTAGTCTATAGTCTAGTCTAGTCTATATAGTCTAGTCTATAGTCTAGTCTATAGTCTAGTCTATAGTCTAGTCTATAGTCTAGTCTATAGTCTAGTCTATAGTCTAGTCTATAGTCTAGTCTAGTCTATAGTCTAGTCTATAGTCTAGTCTATAGTCTAGTCTATAGTCTAGTCTAGTCTATAGTCTAGTCTATAGTCTAGTCTATAGTCTAGTCTAGTCTATAGTCTAGTCTATAATCTAGTCTATAGTCTAGTCTATAGTCTAGTCTATAGTCTAGTCCATAGTCTAGTCTATAGTCTAGTCTATAGTCTAGTCCATAGTCTAGTCTATAGTCTAGTCTATAGTCTAGTCTATAGTCTAGTCTATAGTCTAGTCTATAGTCTAGTCTATAGTCTAGTCTATAGTCTAGTCTATAGTCTAGTCTATAGTCTAGTCTATAGTCTAGTCTATAGTCTAGTCTATAGTCTAGTCTATAGTCTAGTCTATAGTCTAGTCTATAGTCTAGTCTATAGTCTAGTCTATAGTCTAGTCTATAGTTTAGTCTAGTAGTTTAGTCTATAGTCTAGTCTATAGTCTAGTCTATAGTCTAGTCTATAGTCTAGTCTATAGTCTAGTCTATAGTCTAGTCTATAGTCTAGTCTATAGCAAAGTTATGATCTTTGAAATTAAATGAATTGACATGAACAAAAAATTTGACTTAGTAATACTAGAAGAGAATAATGTCATCAAATTGACAGTCTCAACTATAGAAGATCTAAGACCTTAAGATCTAAGCGGTGTTTGGCAGCTACAAAAGCCTAGTACAAAATCAATTTTTTCTCATTACGCTATGATGCCATTACCTACAAAACTACATGCATTATCAAAAATCTATTTTTTTGAAATAGAATTAGGAGATCGTAGGCTATTCAAATTGGTCAGTTAGTTTTGTAAATATCCACGATTAAAAATTGTGCGAATTTGGTTGGTTCAACCTTCAACAAACAGAATATTAATACTGCTAACACTCTTATTATTACATAACAATATGTACAAGTCTGTAATAGTGTTAAAGTCATGTTTTAATTTTATTATATTCACACTTATATAAACTGAATAAGTGTTAGTGATTGCTTTTATTTTAAATCTATAAACAAAATAAATCGACATTTATACCGACGTTTTGACAAACTGGCCAAAAGGCAGGCTTACAAATTTTATATTTAAAAAACGAAACACAAAAAAAAAAAAAAATTATTTACAGTGCGATAGTGCAGTTCATAGTTCTAATTGAGTAGATAAAAAAATCACGTTTATAATTTTTAATATAATCTGAAAATCGGGAGTTGCCCACTATTAATTTGATATAAAATTGTCTCAAACAAATGAAAAACAACTTTGTTAAAATAAAAAATATTCGGATCTTAATATCTGACACACATATCGTTCATTTATTAAAAGACTTGATCACAGATTTCACTTGTTTTTGTCCTATCTCTTATAGTTTTCGAGAAAAATGGACTTTTATGTTCACTCAAAAAGCGGTTTTTACTAGGTATTGAAGTGATCACAGATTTCTTGTAGTAAATTAGCGATATGTTTGTTGAGATTAAGCAAGTGTTTAAAAAATGCAAAACTTTTTAAAACCGACGAAAGTAAATCTCCGCTCTCTATGGACCCCAATTTTTGGGAAATACAAACAAATTCAAAATATGCCACTTTTTATAATATTGTCACACAGTGTAAACGTTAAATATTTTCGTTATTATTTTAAGCGTGGTTGTTGTTGCAGTTGCCACTGCTGATTTTATTGTTATTTGTCAATAATTAATAACATTTTTTAACGACCATTTAATAATAATGACGGTAATTTCTACAAATTATATAAATTTGTGGAAACATTTATGGTTGCTTTCATTTAATATGGACAACGTCAACATTCAGTTATTTTAAAGGAATTTAATATATGAAAATATAACAAAACAGCGAAACGGAAACAATTGCATACACATTATTTATTTGTGTTTTTCATTAATTTTATTAATATATTATTAAATGTTCTGACGTGGAATTTACGAGATATACATAAATATAATGCAGTCATATATTCTCGGGAGTATTAAATATTTGGTAAAACACAAATGGAATACTTTTGTCATATTACGCTGCAGGACGTGTGAAAAGAGGTAATAAACCTATAGTATATGCACTAGGTTGATCCAAAATGTAAGTTGCTGATGGTTCCACAGAAACTTAAAATTTACTTCATTTTAAGATACGACTTCTGAAATTTTTTATTTATGATGAATTGGATCTAAAGATAAAAATTACACTTTTTGAAGTTTCTATATTTTTTTATGAATTTTTCAAATTTTACAAGAATAAAAAAAATAATTTATGTTATTATGTTTTAATTGTAATTATGCAGACCAAATAAGCGAAAATTGAAATACCTGGGATGTTATACTATTTTTCTGAAAGGTGAATCCGAGTAGAACAAGACTATGTATTTGAAATTTGCTAAACACCTCCAAAATCTTGAGTTGCGGATAAAAACCGGTTTTTCGTACCTTTAAGCACTTATAGAGTAGTAACTTTGTTGAATCTTAACCGATTTTAAGTTTCTCTAGTCTATAGTCTAGTCTATAATCTAGTCTATAATCTAGTCTATAATCTAGTCTATAGTCTAGTCTATAGTCTAGTCTATAGTCTAGTCTATAGTCTAGTCTAGAGTCTAGTCTATAGTCTAGTCTAGTCTAGTCTATAGTCTAGTCTATAGTCTAGTCTATAGTCTAGTCTATAGTCTAGTCTATAGTCTAGTCTATAGTCTAGTCTATAGTCTAGTCTATAGTCTAGTCTATAGTCTAGTCTATAGTCTAGTCTATAGTCTAGTCTATAGTCTAGTCTATAGTCTAGTCTATAGTCTAGTCTATAGTCTAGTCTATAGTCTAGTGTATAGTCTAGTCTATAGTCTAGTCTATAGTCTAGTCTATAGTCTAGTCTATAGTCTAATCTATAGTCTAGTCCATAGTCTAGTCTATAGTCTAGTCTATAGTCTAGTCCATAGTCTAGTCTATAGTCTAGTCTATAGTCTAGTCTATAGTCTAGTCTATAGTCTAGTCTATAGTCTAGTCTATAGTCTAGTCCGTAGTCTAGTCTATAGTCTAGTCTATAGTCTGGCTTATAGTCTAGTCTATTTTTCTTTAACATTTTATTTAAACTACAAATATTAAAAATTAAGTTGATTGTAAAACTATTTTCTTGAATGCAATAATTTTAAAGAAAATGCAGCTAGTCCATGGATACTTGGAGATGAATTTCAGTATAGTTTTTTTTTCTATATTTATGTAAATAAATCTTTATAAGTAGTCGTTGCCACTGATTCCTTTGCCTTTTTTCCATTTTTTTGCACTCTCTTGTAAATTGCTATAAAAATTTCTTGGAGCTAAATAGTGCTAGTGCTAACTGATTATGATGCCTGCAGTGACCTAATTTCAATTTATAAAAAAATCAAGAAAATAAAAGTACTTTCAGTTTGTTGAACGCATACCAAAACAGGAAATAAGAAGAGCAAAAGCAAAAAACAAGAAACTATGCAGAAGTGCATGTATAGTAGAAGAAATGGCAAAAGGAAAAAAAAACATTATAATTTAATTTATGAGTCAAATTTTGCCAAAAGACATTTAAATTTGTTTAACACTTACCTGTGTTGTATGTTGAGTTTGTATGTAGATTCTCCTCTGTTGAATAGTATGTTTGTATCTATGTATTTGCCGTAGAAGATTTTATTATGTGATATAAAATTATTTTATTATATTGCACTATATTTTCTTTATTTACTTTTTTTTTTTTTGTTAAATTTAGAATTAATTTTTATATTATTTTATTTAGAATTTATTTAACACCTTAATTGTTGCTTAAAATTTAATATTTTAAATTGAGCCTGTGGTTATGCTTTAGTTTTATTCATAGAATTTGACATATAATATATACTCTAATTACATATGTATGTATGTACTTTTAAGGATTTTGTAAAATTTATTGTTAATGGACTTTATTTAAATTTTATAGAAGTTTATTGGCAAATCCTGGGGACTTTTAATATTTATTATTTACAATTTGCAGTTAATTGCATATTTTTATATTTTTAAATTAATTTCAAATATTATTTTATGTGATTTTTGAAAGCTAATTATTTATATATAATAATTTTTTATATATTTTATTTAATATAGAATTATGTATTGCATTTTATATATATAGCACTTAAAAAATTCCACTTTTAAGAAAATCCTATTTGTATGCTTTATATGATATCAACTCACGTTTGTATATTTCTTTGCTTTCAATAAATAAATTTATAATTGTAGCTTAAGGTTGCAAAATAGTTTTTGAAGAAAATTTTTTTCTTATATTTTTGAACTTCCACTTTAAATATCTGTTGATAGGTTTTAGAAAATTTTTCTGTGTTTTTAATTATTTTTTCTCTAAAAATTTACTTTTTCAACATAATTGTTTATGACATTTTTCACATTTTTTATATAAACAATTTTCACTTTAGTTTGTTTTAACAACTTTATTAATTTTGCTAACAATCCTTTAGATATGCTATAAGTACTTTGAGTTTTTGTTCTTCTCACAGCAAATTTTCATATTTTCTTATAAAAATATGTATATAGATGTTTGGTAGTATTTCTTAGTTACTTTTTGGTTTGTATTGTTACAACGCCTTAAGGTATGTTTGTTTTAGAGTTGATTAAAATGTTTGGTTTTTACAAATTGTAGTTTTGAACTGCAAATTGTCCTAGAACTGTTGGTATGTGGAAAATTTTTATATTTTCAAAATATTATTTTGTGCATTTTTATTGCCTCAAACAATGCAAATTGTTGTGAAAACATTTTTGAATGTTGTAATTCTTTTAATTGTAAATTAAAGTTACTTCGTGTTAAATATGTTTTTTAATTATTTTTTATTTTTTAATTTTTAGATTTGTTTTTAACATATTGTTTTCTGAAAAGAGAAAAAACAACAAAAATTTACTACAGTTGTAATTTTAATTAATTAATAATTGCGATTTATTGCTCAAATTTTAATGTGATTTTTGAGTGAACCTCAAAAAAACAATACTTTTTATTATCTTCATTTTTGTGAAAAGAATATACATACATGTGCATGTATATGTATGTACATATGTATATAAAGTATATACATATATTCTGGATCCTTATAGACAGCGGAGTAAACGATATCTACGGAATCCAAATCTGCATAAATGTTGCTTTCGAGAAGTTTCCTTTTTAAAATCAGCAAAATTCGTTCATAAATAACTAGATAAGGTAAGAACAATATGTTGCTTAAGGGCCCTTCAGACGATCACATTTTACGTACGACTAGTCTAATGAAAAAGTAAAATGAAATTCCATCCTTATGACAAAACAAGTTAGAGTGCTATATTCGGCTGAGCCGAATCTTAAATACCCTCCACCACCTACTTTTATATTAATACTTTTCTAATGGATCAAATATTTGTAGAAATAAGTTTTCTCATGTCTTAAATAGAAAAATCCCAGGATTTAACCAGCTTAAATCTATTACAATTCCAAGATTTATTGAACATTACAAACCATATTCTTTTAAATTTTTATAGCGCCCTAAGATATGCTTTAGCGATATTTAGTAATTTGCATGTATGCATGTGAGTGAAAGATTTAAGGATTTTCAAAATACATATGTATGTATATATAATTTTGTTCTACACAAATTGATAATGCATATAGTTAAATACGGTTTTAGGGGCTGGATCTAGTATGGGAGAGAAAATTCTTTAAGCAAAATTTCTGTACATAAAAGCTATATTTCAGTCAAATTTTGTATCTATATCGTAATTTAGTAATAAGTAATGCGTGTTTAAGTGATTTTCTGAAGGGAACGTTGTATGGGACCGACCGTACCCATGTTATGAACCAAACGTGAAAAAATCTTGAAATATAATTTTTGTATACAAGACTAGTATTTGTGCCAAATTTTGTATCAATAGGTTTATTTATGCGTTTAATAGATTTTCGTAAAAGGACCTTGTATGGGAGCTATGACCAATTATGTATATAAAAACAAAATTTCAAAGTTCTGTATCCATATCATTATTTGGAATATGTACTTTTGTATGGGAGGTATATGAAATTATGGACCGATTCTGGCAATTTTCAGCAGGAATCAATATCTTGTGCAGAAACAAATGTATGATGACTTTCATGAAATTATCTTGCATAGTTTTCGAGAAAATTACATCAGAATGTGTAAAAAATGCTTATTTTTTTCTAGGTTTTTTTAAATTTTGATTCATAACTTTTCCCGATGTGAACCGATTTTGCTTATTTTCAATACCAAACTGTACCGGATAATAATGAATATTTTGGCTGAATTTCGTTAATTTCCATTGCTTCGTTTTAACGTGAGCGTGTTTTACACAGACAGAAAGACAGACGGACGGACATAGCTAAATCGACTCAGAATTTGATAAGGACCCAGAATATATATACTTTGTTGGGTCTCAGATGAATATTTCTTGGTGTTACACACGGAATGACAAACTTATATACCCTCTATCACCACTGATGGTGGTGGGGGGTATAAAAAGAGAATAAAAGTCGTATGATTTATATTTTTGATGTTTACACGATTGGTATGAAACAATAACAAAGTAAGATGGAAACAGCTGTTTCACTTTTTTGTATGTGCTTACATAAAATTACATCCCTGATCTAATGCGACTTGCTTATTTTTTGAATCATTTCAAAAAATGAAGAGAGCCATACGACTGTCAAATTCTCCATCCGTATTTTCTCTCAATGTGTGATGGTTTCGTTACATCCATCCGTTCTCTTCTACACAAAATTTTGAGAGATCATATTATTTGTGTGCTCGTGTGAAGGGGGCTTTATTAGTTTATTATTGCCAAAATTGAAGCTTGTATGAAGAAAAACAATTAAGAAGTACATATTCGCCTTTGCCGAATCTTATATACACTTCACCATAGTGCGCTTTAAAAAAGATAAATTTAAAAAATTTTAATTTATTTCATTTTTCCAACTCTACCATTGCTTTAGCAATAACAACAACAGAAAACAACAACAATTAACGACAAACGAAAAAAACAAAATACGCAAATCATTAATACTAACACATATCCAAACATACGTTTTTTCTAATAAGCAATGTTGTTGTTGTTTCTGCTCGAAAAATAAATGCCAAAGAATACATTTTAATTTTGCCCAAAAAAATAAAAGTCAAAAAATAACTTTTATTTCTGCTCAAAAAAATAAAAATAAAAAAAATTACAAAATTATTAAAGATTTGAACTCCAAAGATATCTGAGGTCTTCAGAAAATTGATTTCAACAAACACACAGATGGACAGACAAACAGACAGACGGACATGGCTTAATCGGCTTCGGATCCAGAATATATGTATGTACATACTTTATAGAGTCGGAATATTATATAGTAAAAATAAAAGTCAAAAAATAACTTTTATTTCTGCTCAAAAAATAAAAAAAAAGTAAAAGCGTTGCATTTTCTTAAAATTTAGTCCACGACGATCAAAATGGTATACTTGATGTTGTTCTCCGATATATTCTTGTGGTTGTTATTTTTTTTCGATTCAAAAATAATTATCTTTTTCGGTCCCTGATTTTGAACCTTTGTAAAACAAATTCTAAATTTTTTGGAATATAAGTATATCGTGGTGATTTATGAACAATAAAAAACAAGTAAGAAATTATAGTCGGGCGTGGCCGACCATATGATACCCTACACCAGTTATGAATATTAAATGTGATTTATTTTTCATAATTAAGCATTTATCTTCAATATTCCCTTGTTCCGATACATTTAAGCAATTTATGGATGAAAAACTAATTTTCTGAAAGAGGCTTTATATGGGGGCTAGGGGCAAATATGGACCAAGCCCGATAAAATTTTGTGAATATATTTATATTTACATAATATTTTATTGTGCTGAATTTCATCGCGATATTTGTGTTTATAAGCTAATTTGGGACATTCAAGTAATTTTCTGAAGGGGACTTTGTATGGGAGCTAGGGTCAAATGTGGCCCGATCTTTATGAAATTTGGCAGGGTTATCAAGACTTCTATAAAACTTAGTTGTGACGTATTTTATCGATATATCTGTATATTTAACATAATTATGAGCTCAGAAGCCCTTTTCGGGGGGTTCTGTTGTATGGGGGCTAGGTGAAATAATGGACCGATTTTAACCATTTTCAATAGGCTTCGTCCTTAGGTCAAATAAAACGTGCGTGCCAAATTTCATCCAATTATCTTGAAAATTGCGACCTGTACCTTGCGCACAAGGTTTACATGGACAGCCAGCCAGCCAGACGGACGGACGGACGGACGGACGGACATAGCTTAATCGACTCAGAAAACGATTCTAAGCCGATTGGTATACTTTAAGGTCTAGGACGAATATTTTTGTATGTTACAAACATCAGCACAAATCCAATATACCCTCCCCACTAAAGTGGTGTAGGGTATAAACAGTACTATACATCGTACAGTTTAGCTATTATATTCAAGCCTAGATAAGTCGCACCGAATATAGACTATTATTTGTTATTTCTAATTCGGATATGAGAAGGCCAATTGAATTATTGCACACATATATGGTTACTTCTATGAGAAGGTCTACCAAGACTAAATAAATAAACTCTATTCTTCTAACTTTCGCGCTTTTGAAGATAATTTAACAAAACCATATTGCAGATTTTTGTAATTAGCGGACCTCATTTGACCGTAGCTCCTTTAGGAAGTAATTTTCCAGCAAATTACTTGATAGTTCATAACTCACCTTTAAACAAGAGCATTATGTTAAAATTATATAAACGTAATTCCCACCCAAAAATTTCATGAACGTAGGTCCGTCTGTCTGTCTGTCTGTCTATTTGCTGTCTGTTTGTCTATCTAAAACACGCTCACGTTTAAAGTAAACCAAAGAAATCAACCGAAAGCAGTTTGGTATTCAAAATCGTCAACATCGGTTTAAACGTAAATAGTTATGATTAGAAATTTCAGACTACCTCGAAAAGAATTAAGTTAAATTTCCTCTAAAAGATCAGTATTGCCACAAAATTGTATATTTTCATAATTGGTTATAGTTCCCGTATAAGTGATTTTCGAAAGTGGACATCCGAAAATCATGATACGGACATACATATTTCATAATTAAATTACGATATCGGAATATAATTCTTCATCATTGTGTTTTGAATACATATAAATCACAGTGTGAAAATTTTTTCCGTATCGGTCTTTAATTGGTCATAGATCCTATTTAAGATTCACTTCCTTAAATTACATAAACGCATAATTTTCATTAATAAATAAAACTGTGGAATTTTATCCCGATTCAGCAAAATTTTTTCGCCTCAAGAACTTTTTTCGCCAGAACGCCAATAACTTTTCCACAATATGAGTTTTTGACATAGTATCCTGCAAACAAAAGTAAAACCTAATATCTTTTCCAAAATATGGTTTAAATTTTGATGATTTTTACAAAATATGGACATGTTGTGTTTTGTTAAAATATTTGAAAAATTGGTCCGATTTTTCCGATTTACTTATCCACCATACAACTGACTCCCTCCAAGCCCTTTCTTAATACAGTATAAACAGTCATAAATACGTTCATTATGCAGCGATTGTCCGCCTTAGCACTCATAGAATGCCCCTCTGACTTTATAATTGTTCATAATGGTTTTATATGAATTAAAATTTCCTAATTTCATAAGAATCGATTTATAATTGAACTTAGCACCTATGTATATAACAAGAAAATCTGTTTATTATCAATAAAACGTACAAAAATATTGGAATTAAGAAAAAAAATCGACAATATTTACAATATCAAATGCTATAGTGCTCGGTTCACACTAACCCCATGACCTGAGACCATATATAGAACCACTTTCCGAATTCTCTAATTTATTAGTAATATTTAACCACATTGAATATTTGTATAGGAAGATTTTTTACATATTTTATGTTGTTAACTCAATTAAAAATTGTAGGGCAAATTATATGAAGACTTAGCATGTAGTCCTAGTAAGATAGAGCGTTTTGAATATTACCCTTTGTCTTAAAAAAAAAAAAACAACTATTCATTTACATGCCAGCGTTAGATATATTTTGCTGTAAATTGATTTTAAAATTGTACTAAATGGAAGTAAATGTTAACAACAGTAATAACTATTCGTGCATAATAATTAAAAGTAATCTATTAGAACAAATGCGTTTTAAAAGACCACAATTATTATGTTCTTTTTTTTTCAAACTAATATAATGTCATAAATTATACAATAACAATTTATTTTAACTAGTTCAACTAATCTTACTATAACTTTTATATACATATTTACCTATAAATATGCTCTGCTATTCAAAGATACCTTAACTTATATAGTGAATTATTAAAAACAAAATTTACTAGTTTTTAATTTATTTCACACTGTATAGTTTAATATGATGACCCATTAAATTATTTAATTAATTTTGCAACAAAAATATCCTGTTTGCCAACATTACGTCCATGAGAAGCTAGTAACTCCCCAAAAGTATACGTTAAATTGGGTTAGCAAACTTTTGGATATTTAATAAACATGAAATTCTTATCGACGTTGTAGCACTAAAGTTTTAACTCATTTTGTGAGTTTAGGATTATAAGGATATTTTCCCTCTTTCTTAAGTAATTTAAGACGCTTGTGTAATTAGCTGTTGTTGTTGTTTCTTTTTCTTCCTTTTTTTAACTTTTAGTTAGTTTTCTTAAGTTTAAGACCGTTATTTAGCCACTGCATACAAAACGAAGCAACACAAACAATATTAAAGAACACAATTATATTTTGGCAAGCCACAACTACTACAACATTAAAATTTTATTTTTAATTAGGGTTTAAAATTTTGTTGTTTTTATTTTTCTTGTTTTATAATTAAAACACTTTTTAAACACAATATTTTAATCTCTTTTTTTTATTACAATATTTCTTGTAGTTTAAAACATATTTTTTTTTTTTTTTGGTTTCGTTTTAATTTCGCAAAAATTGTTTTGGTTTTTGTGGTTTTCAAAAACTTTAACGCGTTTTACGTTGCTCTTTACTAGCGTAACACAACGTTGTGAATGAGGAATTTTATTAAATGTGATAAGGGAATGAACCTACATGCTGATGTAGTTTGTAGATGTTGCAGTTGATGGTTATTGCTGGTGCTGCCTTTAGCAACTCGTTTAAAATGTTCGAATTTGCAATCGTTTTCGAATATATAGAGATGCACACGACATTTTTTCTATGTCAGCTGCACATGAAAAACCAGCAGCAACAACAACAAAGCCAACAACATCTGAAGTACATAATAAAATAGAGGCAAATACACTTCGTTGCAACATCTAGTACAAACTGAATAGCTGTACAGCGAAGCGCATTTTAAATTTAACTTCAAACCTAACAACTCGAACATCAAACTCACTTTTTATAAATCAACAAAAAAATAAAAAATTCTTAATGAAAATTTTTATAATTATAAAAATATGTTAATCCATTTTTTTTACAAAAAAAAAGCGCCCAAACTATTAAACCCCCATTTCGACCCAAATATGTATATAAAGCGAATTATAAAAAGTAAATGCAATAAAATTATTTAAACCGTTCACCTTCAAGTGTCCGCATTAACTGAAATTCCTCTACATCAACCATTTAACAAAGGAATATATAACGATTGCTTTGACTTCACTACACTTCAAATTTTAATCCCCACAACCACTCGTTGATTCAACAGATTCTTTAAATTTCTTTCTATTTGTTTGTAGTTGTAGTTGTTGTTGTTATCGTTATTATTTTTCGCCTAATTCTATACACATAGTAAAACTCCCCATAATACGCAACACAAACACACACAGTCCATACATACATATAAACATATCCTTGTATAGTACATTCAAACACGAAGGAAGTTTTATAGTAAATAGTCAGTCAAACGAGTTCATACTCAAAATTCATACGATATGAGTGCGAGAGAGATTAATACTCTCTTTAGCATCTCAGAGTAGAATAGTGGTAGAGGTTAGTTACATTTATTTATTATTAACCGTTATCCTGTTGCTTTTTCTTGCAGAAGAGATTTTTACCCTCTTTTTCGCTCTTTTTGCTGTAACTGTTAAAAATAGTGGTCATTATTTTTGTGAGGGGATTAATAAAGTTTCGTTAAGTTTTTTGCAAATAACGGTTAATTTTTTCTGTTTTTACAGAAAAAAACCCACTATAAATTCTATTAATAAGGGGACTTTTTAAGGGGTGATTTCTATAAGGGGATATTGTATTGAAAACAGCGCAGAAAGGGGGTAGTTGTTTTGGGATTATTTGTAAAGTATATTTTCTCTTAAGGTTTAACAATTAAAGAATTTGATAAACAAGTAAGAGATTCTTATACACTATATACCCCTCATCATTGTATTGCTACATAATCAAAACAATATTTCTATCGGAATACATATTAAACAGTCAGACCTCTAGCAAACTTCTCGAAAGTTTATCTGATAGTATTATTAAACATCACTGAATCACTAAAAAATTACTCTCAACAAACATAGGGACGGACACATAAAGATAGACCCACAAAAGTATATACATATATTATGGGTCCTTATTAAATTCTAAGATGAAATGGGCGGGGAGCCACGCCCATATTAAAAAAATATTAAATCCGTATATTTGAGATAATATAACAGTTAGAGTCCTCAAATTTTGTCGGAGCCACTTTAGTGTCAATATGATTATTTAGGACAAATGTAGGCGGGCTAGCATTAGGGGTGCCACGCCTCCCATATAAATTAAATACAAAAATTAATTTATCTTGGAAACTATTACAGTTAGAATCTTAATTTTACACGAATAACTTTAACATCCATTTAAACATTTTGGGTAATAAATTGGCGGACTACCCATGAGGGGAGCGACTCCACCTATATTAATTAAACACAAAAATTCTGTATCTTGGAAACTAAAGGAACTAAATTCTTCAAATTTTGCACGAAGAACTTAAATATTCATCTGAATATATTGGAGGAAAAAAAGCGGACTTCCATCTGGGGGGGCTTAAAGCCCCCATATGAATTAAATAGAAAAATTGGTATATCTGAGAAAATATTAGAGTTAGAATCTTTAAATTTTGCTTGAAGAATTTTGACATTCATCTGAACATTTAGAGTATAACGGGCGGACTTTCAATGGGGAACTTTGCACCTGAACATTTTGGGGATAATTATGAGCTCAAAAGCCTTTTCGGGGGCTTCAGTTGTATGGGAGCTAGGTGAAATAATGGACCGATTTTAATCATTTTCAATAGGCATCGTCCTTGGGTCAAAAAAACTTGTACTCCAAATTCCATCAAATTATCTTGATAATTGTATTTTGATAACAACGTTTTCATGGACACACGGACGGACGGGCATCGTTAAATCGACTCAGAAAGTGATTCGGATATCGGTATACTTTAAGGTGGGTATAGTACTAATATTTTAATGCGTTACAAACCCTACACCACTACAGTGGTGTAGGGTATAAATAATTTTTTGGACTAAAAATTCTGTATTTTTCCAGTAATCAGCCTAAAATTAGGTAATTTTTGAGACCCATTTAAATTAAATTTGAAATATATTTTTTACAAATTATATTGAGGTCAGAATTTTCAATCGCTAGTAGGGTTTCAATCCCAATAAAATATTTAGTGTTTTTCTCGTGTTATTTTTACAAAGAATAAAATTTTTTTATTAATGCATGATTTTTTTTATATACATTTCACAAAGCATCAACTAGTCAACAAAGTCAACTTTATAAATGTTCTTAATGAAAGTTGATAAACAAATAAAGATGCCACAATTACATTCAATTAAGAACAAATTTATTATCACTTAAAGTACAATGTCTACAAAAGATATATTTTTTAAATATGTATGCAATTAAAACAATTGCAATAGTTAAATGTATCTTAAAGACGTCAGCAACATAAATTAATTAATTCACAGTGGGCAAAGTGAAAAAAGAAACTGCTGTCATTAGCTGGGAATCGGTATGAAATACTTACTAGAAGAAAATGGTCGAATTTAAAGCAAACGCCAGCATTTCAATGTTGCTTAAAAAATCGATTAATATTCGGACTTTGATATCAACTCTTTATCAACAGTGACTGAGGGAAAACAGGGCTTATAAACATCTGAATACACTTCTATTAGCATATATAAATAACTCCAACATAACTTAATTTCATTACCCCATGTGATAACAAAGTAATAACTAAATTCATATATTATTTTGAAAGCTTTTTTTTTTTGTTTTCCTTAACAAAATTTTTCTCTTCTAGACAAACCACTCAAAATTAAATTATTCAAAAGTTTAGTTTTTATTTTGTTCCATTTCAAATGCATTTGTATCATTGTCATCGTCATTACATGACCACAAATGTCTTTATACTTATCTACCCAACACCAACTATTTAATGGTGTTTTACAATTCTGCTCTGGCATTATTGGAAGGGAGTCAGTCACATTGTCCACTCCCTAACTTAAATGTAATGAATATTTATGAAGATTTTAGTGGAAATACAAAAACTAACTAAAAGTATAAGAACAAGTACAGAAAAAAAAAATAAAATAATACAAAGTTGAAAACAATTTTTTTCGCGTCTGTTGTTTTATGATTTGCAATATATTCTCCTTCAATAAACACCACCAGCGGCAACGCCACCGACCGCTAAAATACAACATAAAAAATGTCATACTCTAAGCTCAGTTAGTCTTTGACAATGTGACAGTCATTCAAACCATCCATGCTGCTACATTCAATATTATTATTTGTTTATATTTTTTTTTTATATAAACATTTACTATTTATGCTCATTTATACAATGACCATTCAAGCGACAATTTTTATACATTTATTTGTATTATAATCGTTGGTTTGAATCATAAACATCATCATCATGATGATGATCATCACGATTAAACAACAAGTAAGCAGCCAACAATTGTATTTTAGACGTCACGGTGTTTGTATTTCGATTTTAGCTCCATTTATGGCACAAAACATGTTTCACCAAACAAAGTATGCCGCCTGTGGTGTGACCAATGACCAAAATGTTTTTTCCGCAAAAGTTTTCTTTTCTGTTTTCAATTCTATTATTTTGTTGATGTTTTACTTTTTCAAATATAATTCTTTTAACTTTTAACGAAATTTTTGTGTATTTTTTATTCAATATTCTTTAATAAATTTATTATATTTTTATTTTAATTAAACAGAGTGGTGGAATTATATTTTTGTACATTAACTTAGCCAAAAATTGGCAGCACAATTTCTATTATTGTCCAATTCACAATAGGTGTGGTAAGGTTGCACAATGGTGGCAGTTACAAAGAAAATAGCGAGAAAAATAATAAAAGTTAGAATATTGTCGCTAAGAATTAATAGCTACGAAAATAATGACCTGACCCACCCAATGCCTACTTTATAAACATCATTATGAAAAAAATCTAAATCGTTTGAAGATATTTCATACGTTATACAAATTTATTTCACAATATGTGGACCACACCCACGCAACGCCCACTTTATATACCTTAATATATAAAAACTATTCATAAATCTTATGTACAAGTTGTAAGTTTGTTTGCTAAATGAAAAAACTTACAAAATTTTCAATACCAAACCACCTGCATCATCGTTAAAAATATATTTGTGAAAAATTCAGTCCTCTTGCTATTTTTGTTCGGGCTCTTCAGGTTTTCAAAACTATACTAGTTCGTATGATGTAGGGATATGGTTTTTATTGTAACACTTTTTTAGAGAAAATCTAAAAGTTAAAATTTTCTAAATACTTGTGAACGTTTAGCCCTTTAAGATTACATTAAAATACCTCTCAGCACGCTTCTGTTTATTTCAATGTATGTATGTACATTACGGCGGTACAAAAATAAAAGTTTCTGATATTCCCAACTATATTTTCTAGTTATACCTTAATGCACAAAAATATTGGTCTTATGCCTATCTTAAACTATACCGATCGGCTCAGAATCACTTTCTGGGTCCGTCTGTCCGGCTAGCTGTCCATGTAAACTTTTTGCGCAAGGTACAGGCCGCAATTTTCAA